GTTTTGTGAATTTTAGCAGATGAATTATTTTCTTCAGACTTTCAGAATAATGCAGGTCTTCTGTAGATCTTTTATGGGAAAAATGACAAAAAGGATTTATGGAGTTATTCCATAGAAAAAGTGAAATATTTTTCATGTTTTTTGCACATAAAATACAGTTCACAGGTCCTCTATACACAAAAGAAATATGTAAGGTGGAAACCCATTCACATATCATCTAGAGATAGAATATCTTTTATATGACATCTGTGTGTAAAAGACCCGCTATAAAACTTCGTAATAAAGAGATACCTTTTATATGTCATCTGTAACAAGAACACTTTCTATATACAAGGAGATCTTCTACAGACCGAAGTTATTCTCTATGTATTCTATAGGGAAAATACTTTTTATAGATTTTTTTTTATAGATAGAAGATTTTTTATAAGATTTTTATATACAGAAAAATAATTCTGCAGATCTTAAATATATAGAGGGCCATTAATAAATTCTATATATATATATATATATATGGATAATCCGTTATTGGAATTTGTTCTGTGGATCTTCTATGTGTAGGCGCTTTTGAAGAGGCCTTCTTTATGTGAATGCATTTTCAGAAAACTTCTATATAATGAGACCTAGAGGAAATTCTTCTAGTTCCTATAGAAGAATATTTTAATAGATCTTCTTGTATTGTACAATGTGAAGTCTTTTTTTTAGATTTTGCAGAAAGAAGCTCTATGAATTTATTATTTATTCAATAGGTAGATAATCTTTTAAATGTATTATTTTATAGGGAGTTATAGAGAGTCTGATCTGCTTGCAGATCTTCTATAACAAATAAACAATCACGACACACAAATTTCCAAATTTCTAAAAAAACATTAAGTAACATTTCCTTCTCTTACCCTCACTTTTGTCTGCCAGTGTTACAAACAAGTTATCTCGTGTGTTTTTTTTTCGATTTTTAGTGCCTCTGCAAACGAAACCTATATGAGGCATCATCATTACGTTAATAACTTATAAGGCTTTTCTGGAAATGATCATGCAATCCATAAACAAAATAAACTATTATAACAGCAACAACAACTAACCCAGTTTTGTGGCACTATGTAAGTATGTATGTGTTTTTCTTACCTTATAAGAAATAAGGCAAAAAATGTCATAACGAAAACCATGGTTATTGATAAATTTACAAAAAATAACAGAAAACCACTAAATCAACCACTAATTGCAATGGAAATGCAGAAAATTAATGATGAAGTAAACAAAAAAATAAATAAATAAAAAAAATACTTCAAAATGTCATAAGAAGATTATTAGCCATCATCATCATTGCCATTATTATATCAAAGAGGGCAACAACATTTTAGGGTTCATTAAAGTTTTGTTTTCATCACCATTAAATATCAACAATTTTTTAATTTCAAATTCCTTTTATTTAAAATGCTATTTTTGTTTTTGAAAACAACATCGAAAAACAAAATCTCATAATCCACCAAAAACTTGCTGGTGCAGCACACAGCAGTTGCCGTTAAAACTATTATTGCAAAATATCAACATTTTTAGATAAACATTTTTTTAAGGCGTGTAATGTAGAAATTACGAATTCGTATAACATTAGTTACGCCGCTTTGACTTTTTTCATCAACAAAAAAAGTCTTCTTGGTGTTGTTGTTGGTCTATTATTTTCGTTGCTGTTGTTGTTTGTTTTATATTTAAACCGTATTTGTTTTTTGCCATCTACTTAACATGCAAAATGCACTGGTTTTGAGACGGTGAGGTTTTACAGACAGTCATTCCAGCCAGTCATGTTACCAATACCATCCAACCAATCTCTGGCTCTGTTGCAGAATGCTGTAATAGCACTATTCCCTCCCTCCCTTCCTCTTCTCAACTCTACCATTTACATCAACAATTTTTTTTTTTTTGATTTTTCGTTGATGTTGTTGACTAAGAAATTGAATGTGGCAAAAGTGATTGAAGTTTGTTTTTCTCGTTTTTCGTTATAGCTGTGTATAGATTTCTTGCAATGAGGAGACAAACGGCAATAACAACAGCAGCAACAACAATATGTTTTGCCTTCACTGCATTTACAGTTTTGTTGCTATCTATATATGTATGTAGGTTGGTTTTTTGGCAAACTGATTTGTTATGGATTGAAGTTAATAACATCAATTACTCAAGTCAACGTTGTTGTTGTTATTGTTGTTGTCGTCATTGTCGTTTCTCTTCCATTTTATTTATTTGTTTATCTAAGAAGGGCTTTTGAATGCAAATACTGTGCAATTATGTAAAGTAAAAGTTAATACACGCACACACAGACACACATTCAAAGCGTCATTATGTGATTGATGAAAATGAAAGGGATTGCAGATAAATTGCATTGAAATTGAAAGGGAATTTATTTATGGACCGCGAAAATGAGATTGGAAGCTATAAGGGGCCTCAAGGAGATTTAACAAAAATGTCCACAAAGGACATTGCCACAGAAGTACGATTTAAATAATTTTAGGGACACGATGTACCAACCGGTGTTTAGAAGAGCTTTATTTTGGTTCATAGGTTGGCTTTGGCGATATGCAGGCGTTTAGAGCGGATAAAGCTCGCTGGATAAACGTTGTGACTAATGAACATAAACATATTCTAAACACCGGCTGTTAAAAGAATCGGCCCTACGTTGGGCGCCATTCTTGTACCAGCCTATCTATCACCTTTAAACAGAACCAGAAGATTCTATAGGGGAGATTCAATGGATTATGAGTTCTGTAAATGGATGATAACGACAAATAATGCCGGAATATAAAGTCTTATTCTCTAAGAGAGAAATGAGAACGAGCGGTAGAGTCTTAGAAAGAAAAAAAATATTATTTTTTTTATAAAGAAATATATTTTGAACTTCGAAGTTTTATGTCGTATAGATCCTAGATAAATAACACAACAAAACATGTCTATGTTATTAGACTGTTAACAATATGTTGATAACATTTAATGTGATGTTATAATAATTACTGGGTATTGGATCTCTGAATCCGGGGGTGCATAGAGTTCGGAAAGGTATTAAGGAGCTCAATAAAGATCCGAATAGTATTTAAGTAATCGATATACTCAAATAATTATTGAAGATCTAAAAGAAATGACCGAAAAATTGGTATTGAGAAGATCTGAGATCGGAATAGGCAATGAAGCTCCAAATAAAGATCATATCAGGTAAAGTGAAGCTCATGTGGGGTTCGAATAATATCTGATTATTCGTTTATATACCCAAATAAATATTGGATATATTTATAGAGGTCGGATTATTGATTACCGGGCTCTGTAGAGGTGGGAGGCTCTGTAAAATTCCGAAGATGTAAGAATTTATACATTCTATTAGGGTTCGAACAGGCAATGTCGACTTCTGCAATTAGTTATGTGGACTACCAAAAGGTATACATAGGCATAGAAGAAGATCTAATCGGAATTGAAAAGTTCTTTAGAGATCAGAATTGAGGTTAATTGAATTTAAAAAAGCTACTGAAAAGTATAAATATTATGGGAGGATCCTAAGCCTTTTATAGAACATCTCGCAAATTTCGGGGAAATATATATCAAAAGACGTTCTATAATATATTTCATATTTAATTTGGAATTATGTAAACATTCTGTAGACTTTATGTTAATAACATTACATTTTAACAGTGTGTTAAGAAATAACAGTATTTTATTATGTTAATACTGTTAAACAATTGTATATCCTCCGAAACATAATTTTCAGTCGATCGTGGAGTTTTAATCTTCAGAGAGTTTTAACATTTACTAGAAAATATGATTAATAACTCTGTTGACACAATGTTAATAACAGAAAACTAAATGTAATGTTACACACTTAATTAAGTTTTCCAAAAATTTAGATTTTTTACAGGACAACTGGTAAAAAATGTGATGCCTTGAATAAAATGTAAACATAGAAAACTAATTGTAATTTACAGTTGACTTCATTAAATGTTAAATGGGAACTAATTGGGTATTTCTCAGACTTTTGAACTAAGGATAATTGTATTTGGAACAATTCTGAATTGATTTTTTATATTTATTTATTATTATTTTTTTAATTGTCATGAGGCTTTATTTGAAGAGTTTCTCCATGTGAATAGCAGGAAATCCGTGAAATCTTTATTATATTTAAAAATATATAGAAAATCTTTGGCAAATTTTGGCACACTGTTAATGGAAATGATGTATTGGCTTTACATGGCTTGTGAATTTAATTCAAAGTTGAATCCTTTTGTCAAATGCAAAATTTTCCTTATGTTAACAACATACTGGCAACACAATGTTAACAACATGACAGTAACAAAAATGTACGTTAAGTAAACTTATGTCAAAAAAATTAATTAAAATTTATTTCGAAATCCTTATAAATGATCAGAAAAATATCCTTCAGTTTTATTATATATTTTTTTTTTTTTGGAATCACTGTTAACAGGATCAGCTTTAACAGGAAACGAGAAAATTACAAAGTCTATGCACTACGACTATAAGAAATATTTGAAGAAAGTTGTAAATTAGGAGGCAGGGAACCACAAATGAAAATATTTGTTTTTACACTTTAACATTTATACAACTGCCACCACTGACGGGTTATTTCCGTTGAATATCCACTTTTTAAAATTTGTTTATCCTTAATGGAATTTTTATTGCGAATGTCACAAAATTTAAAATCCATAACGTTGATTTTATTACTTCTTCAAAATTAGCCACTTTAATTGTTATTGTTTCTTATTTCATTGTGGAATTTTTTTTTTAACTTTATAGTCTCACTTAATATTGTTGTTTTGGTATTTTTAGACAACACTTTTGTGAGCTTATTTGTTTTAAGACATTTTTATCCTTTTAAGTTGTTTGGTATTTCATTTTTTTTCATGGCACTTCGCTGGTTTAATCATCGTGGAATTTCTTTGAAATTTCTTGTCCATTTTTTGCATTTTTTCTATACAATGTTTTTTTCTTTTTTTCTTGATTATTTAAATACATACCGGCTCCAAAGAGTGCAACAAATACAATCATAAACTTCTTCATTTTGTGTGAGTGTGTTTTGTTTTTTATTTGATTTTCTTTGATATTAACAAACAAAAAAACTCCTCCGTAATCTCTGTACAGACGCTGCGAACAATTTGTGTGTGTCTGGAGTTACCTGAGACAACGAAATACTTGAACCGACTGTGTGTGATTGGCGGTCTTACATTCGCTTTTTATACCGCTGCGAATGTGCGCACGCGTGCATGAGCTATTGGAAAAAATGTCGCTTGCGTTGAATTGTGATTATTTTTTTCGGTTTGAGTACACGGCACATGGGCTAGTTGTTGGTGTAGGCCAACAAAGCAAAAACAACAACAAATGCTTAGTTGGTTAAGGCAGCAGCAAACATCAGCTAGCCAGCCAACGAAGCAGCAGCAAAAATAGTTTTCGTTAAAGACAACACAATGGAAAAGAAAAGAGCGCATTACAATGAAAACGAAGAAAAAAACGCAATGAAAATACGAAAGTCAACACAAAAGAAAAATTCACCAACCATTGAACCAATGGCTAAAGAAAATTGTACTCTGGAAAAAGAAGAGAAACAAAATTTTGTATGGCTAAGCATGCTCATGCATTTAACTAAAACGTATATTAGACTCTGAGATTATGCATAGCTTAAAACGTTAAGTGTCAAGCTTTTTGATGGCTTTACTCAAAACAAACGAGTAACTACTCAATTCAAGAAACAGCAACAACTCTTAGTCATGCCAACTTTGTCAGGGTTGGTAAAATTAATATGTTGGTACGTTTTGAGATATAATAATCAGGGTTTTTACGAGATTCGCAATTTTTCGAAATATGGTTTCTTTGTGTGAGATTACCAAAAGATGACTATTGATGAACATACACAAATATATATTTGATACAAATATTACCATGATGTTTATTTAAAATATTGAATAATGTTTGTTCCAAATCAGATACTCAATCCCCTTCATATGAAATTTAAATTTGATTTAAAATTTTGGCATCTTATGGAAGTAGTACCAGACGTTGTATGCTGATAGCGTTTGTTAAAAATAATATGATTTGTAAAATTCGAATACTCCATTCGCTTTATGATATATAATATATAATTGACAATTGCAGACGGAGTGGGACGACAGCTTTGTAAAGAGTATAACATTGTGTGAATTTTGTATCAAATCAGATATTCCGACAGGGGGTACCAGAAGGATCGCCGTTTGGAAGGAATATTACGATGTGTAAAAAAGTTTGGATCAAATAGGACATTTAATTCACTTGATATTGGATTACGAAATTAAAAAAAAATGACAATGTGAGGATATGACAAACGTAGCAGACCGGCCGGTCCCATCTTCGGACATAATCTAGGTAATTTAAACATATTACAATATTCAAAGTTTCGATGAAATTGGAAATTTTGTTCGCATGTTTTACAAATGTTTACCCTTTGTGGGAGTATGCCCATAAGTCCCATCTTTCAACATAATACAGTCATAGTTAAAATATTCGGGTGTGCAAAGTTTGGTTTGAATCGGATACTCTGTTCGTCTAATATTAGAAAAATCATTTCAGCACAATTTTAACAATTTTGTGGTCAAAAACATTGACCCTTTGTGCGGAGGTACAAGAAGAAGTGGACCAATGGTTACTATCTTCGGACGGGATCTAGGATTGGTAAAAATATTACGATGTGCAAAGGTTTGGTCAAATCGGAATTCCATTCGCTTAATACTGAATTTATAAAAACAGAAAATGTTGACCCTTTGTGTGGGAGGTACAGGAAGGAGTAGACCAATGAGTCCCATATTCGGACAGGATCTAGGATTGGTAAAGATAAAATTTTGTGCAAAGTTTTGTTTATTATATTATGTTATTAAATCAATTTTCAGCAACATTTTTACCATTTTGCGGGGGAGGTACCAAAATGATTGGACAGATATTCCCCATCTTCGAACTTAAACTAAGTTTGAAAAAATATTACTATGTTCAATGTTTGGATTGACTCGGTTAATCCATTCGAGAGTTATCGTGCGCACCAGCCAGCCAGGCAGACAGACGACATTTGTTAATCGAATCAGCCATAAGGCTGACTGTATAAATACATACAATTATGATCATTATTTAAGCTCTATTATTAGCCAAAACTGAATCCTATAGAGTAACTTCGGGTAATGTGGGCTATGCGTCTAATGTGGACCACCCCCATAACTAAGAAAATTATTGATTGGGCGCATTTAATATGCGAGGAGAAATTCTATCCTCTGAAAATTCGATATGCGAAATTACAGCTGCTTGGGTTGAATAATGAAGCCAGGATCTTCAAAATATCGCAATGGTGGTCCACATTACCCGAAGTTACTCTATAATTTTTTGACCGATCCTGGAGTAGACTTCAAAAATAAATTATTTTGTCCACCTTATGGTGGAGAATTTATGCGCCTTCTTTATATCCTCTACCGTAATCCGAAACTAATTATTTTATTCAGAATAAGTCACTGGTCTCTCAGATGTAGGTATATAAGACATTCGAAGGATAAAAGGTGGTGAATTTCAAAGCCTTGAAATATTCCAGGGTGTTGAAGACTGACATACATATATGCAGGAAATGATCAAGTTAAACTCATGTTTAAACCTAGACCTCATATAAAAATAACACACTTTTTTGGTATATAGAAGAACCCTACCCTATTCTTATTAAATTTCCTGGTTTTTGAAAACTGATATATATTAATAGATTGGATATTGGAAAACTTGGATAGGAGTTTCAACATACCAACGATTAAAAGGTACTTATATACGGCGGCTATCCTAAAATAATTCACTAAATTATAAAAATAACTTTTTTCACGATATTTCTTAAAACGAAATTTCGGTGGCGGTTCTATAATGGTCTTAGGAGTATTTTATAGCGACGGAAAGCTTGCTTTGACATTTCCTAGTTGTCGGATGAATTCAATGGAGTACATTCAAGCCTTGGAAGATATATTATTGCCATATTGGGAAAACAGCAACAATGAGGGACTCGGTTTTCAGCAGGAAGTTTTTAAAGTTATATTTTCGCAATAGTTCAAAATCCGTATAGGGTCATTTGTTGAAACGGATATTATCAATAGAAAATGCAATTAAATCAGCGATATTTTCAAAACATTTTATGCCACATTCATGTTTGCGTATTAAAGCTAGAAGTGAAATTAAAAAAAAAACACGCAAAATCGAGCTTCAAAATGTTAGCATCATTTACAGTTAGATGCAGTTCTAATTTTGAAAAATGATATAAAAGAAACGTAGTCCCCATTTTGTTGGCTTCTAGTTTTACTTTGACACGAAGACCGTGAAATGACTGGCTTAGTCAAAAATCGATAGAGAACATAAAATAATTGGTTCGCCTCAACCTGTTTTAGACATTATTTACATTAAAGTAGATACAGCTTCAACCCAAATAAAGTTTGGAAGTCAATATCATGAAAAATTTGCAACGACAGATCAATTAACCCAAAACTATTCACTTGTTTCATATATGCTTTAAAAATTGGCAATATTGCCATATGTATGTATGTCTGCTCCAAGAACCTATTATACCAAACAGCAATACCAAAACGTAAACCGCAGTAAATATTTCGAGGTATTGCAAACCGAATGACTGAATTAATAGGAGTATATATTAATTTATACCTAGCTATTTTTTTGTTTATATCGGATAGCAAAGTATATAAAAATTTTAAAGTAATTTTATTAATAGTTTTCTAGTAACCTCATCGATATGTATGACTATCGGGAAAACTACGTTTAATATTTTTGTGAATTGCTTTCGTTCCTTCATAAAACCAACTTATACTGAAATAATTGTTTTGAAATTTCCACTTGACTTTTTAAACAGTCATTCTATTGCTTGAAGTTGCGAATGGGATCTGAGTGATGGTCAATTTATTTAATTTATTTCGGTAGATCTGTTTAATTTATTTTCGTTAGATCTGTTCTTTTGTATCGACGCACGTCTCTAAAAACCTAATTGTATCCATAAGGTACAAACTGTCAACACTGAAACATGGCCTGAACACACAAACAACAATAATTATTCTTTTGTTTTTTTTTACATTTAGCTATTGTACACAACAACATTGTAGTTGTGGCCAATGTTCGCTGTTTGGCTGGTTACAAGCAGAGATGGCACGTAAATGGCATTGTAGTCAGAAACGTGGCCAAATCCATTAGGTTTTTGACAAAATAGCTATTTCCATTAATCAATTTGGAAATTACGCATTCTTTACTCAAATTAATATAAAATTTCAAAATTTTCTTCTCAAAAAAATTTAAAAATTTTTATCAGTTCTACTAAGGAATAGTCAGATATATGTCCAATAAAAATATATTCATGAAAATAAATGTATATGCTGATAATATTGAAATAAATGACGTTTACTACATTTATTATATTTTATACAGGTATATGTCGTTTTCAACGTTTGCACCTTTTTGACAGTCGAAAACCTAATAATTCGTCACAAGGACCATCCCTGGTTACAAGCCTTTGGCTCTCGTTATAGTATGCTTGTTGTTGTTGTTTATTTTCGCTTCAATTTTCCTTTTTTTTTTGTATTTTTTCACCAAGTTTCTGGTTGTTTCTTGTCTATAGATTTTTGTATGCATGTTGCGCATGCGTCATAAAACATTCAGTCGACGTTGTTGTCAGTGTTTGCGCTGACGTTGCGGTCGCTGTGTGTCGGCGTTTACGACAACTACAACAAATTTTCGTCTGTCCGTCCGTCAATACATTTGTACAATTTTTAGTGTAAAGTAAATAAAACGAATTACTATTACTATTATTAATCAGTTTGATTTCTTGTGGTATTTGTTTTATAAACTTTAAAATCGATGATGTCTGGGCTGGTTGGCTCGCTGGCTGGCTGGTGGTTTGGAGTATTAGCGGTATTTACACCAAACACCACACCACCTGAATTTCATTCATCTGGAGAGGGGTTATACAAATTGATATTTTTGTTTTGTTTTTCTTGGCATTTGATTTTCATTCCGTTGTTTTTATTTTAGTTTTGTTTTTCTTTCGAATATTTTCATTTTGCCAACCAACTACCTTCGTTGTGATGACAATAGATTTATGGGGTGAACTACATAATATTTGTAAGTCCAAAGTTGTTTTGTTTTTCGATTTTTTTTT